TCTAGAACAGTGCACCCCAACCCTCTCCTCTAGGCACACCTAACAGTCCAGGATTTAGGGATTACCTGGGTGTGTCTAAGGTATTAAAAAAAAAAAAAAAACCTTAGACACACCCGTGCAATCCCTAAATCCTGGACTTTTAGGTGTGCATTAAGGAGAAGGGTTCTAGGACACTTGCATCGGTCACAAGTATACAGAGGTGACTCTAGCCTTAGTGAGGCTTAAAATATGAGGCCTCCTAATCCCCTAATTTTCACAGATTTATAATTTCCTCATCACTTCAGCCCCATAATTTCCTCTTGAACCCCAGCCCTAAAATTATCTTAAAAACCTTGCATGGAAATTATAATTACCCCATTACTACTTCTTATTCATATAATCACATGATACTATCTATATCAAATTTTAAGATCTTAAGATCTTTTCTATGGGAATTTTTGCAATTACATGGAAAGTTCTAGCATAGGGATATACACCACATAGTAAATATAATTTTGCTTTATTTTGATGAAACACCAGTTGGTTTATTTTATTTAAATTTATTAATTTAAATAATTACATTTATTCATAGTAAATCAAACTGTATGTCAAATATGGGCTAGTAAATTGAGAGTTTATCAAACTGTTTTAAATATAAATTTCAAGATTTAGCTGTATTCTATTAAAAACGAGGACTATTTAAACCCAAGCATGTGAATGTCAAAATAATCTCTACACTGCAACAGAACACAGATAATTATTTAATTGCTTTAAACAGGAAACAAACATGTTTTTAAACACCAAAATACATACTAATGTACAAGTCTACCGTGATTTTTCAGGTTTTATTCTGTAAATTAACCAAGACTCATTAACAAGAAATTACTATTCAATTATGTATGATGGTGTTAGCAGCATCAATTAAGGTGGATAAACTAATAGTCTAATTGATTGTTTGAGGATTCTAATGGGTTTGCTTTCTCCTGTAATGGATTCTACTTCATATCCCTTTGGTCTTGGTTAGAATCAATATTTTCAACTATGTACACTTCCAAATTCTCATGTCCAATTTAAGAAAATCTGTCATTCCACTACCTCTAAAGAAATGCAGAGATGAAAATGTTAAGAACTAAAATAACTTTGCTTTGTTTATTGAAAAATATTTATATGTTAAAGTATAAATATGCACAAAAAAAGATTCTTAGTTTGCACATTTTCACCTTGATGTCTAAACTCCAAATCATTATCTACTTCAAATTAGTTTATATGCTTTGATGGATGAGTTGGTAATCAATACAATAGAACAGTTTTACAATTAGTTGAAAATAAGGTTGAAACAAAAAAGGAAATTGTAATTTAATATCCCCAAGTACACTTTAACATACCTGAGATATTGTCCAATTTGGTGTAAATTGTCTTTAATTTAAAAGTATATAATGCAGTAAACAAGCACAATTTGTATTCAAAACATAGCATGCGTAGCTATCACTGAAATTTTATATATATATAATGTAGATTTGATTAGCCATATTAGTCCAGTAGACAAGATGCCAAAAAAACAGAGTATTGTGATACCTTTTTTTATTGGACTAACAAAATATTTCAAAGACAAGCTTTCAAGAGTTGTCCTCACTTCCTCAGGTCTGAAGCAATACTGATCAATCTGATAGAGTTTAACACTTAAAACAACTGATGTTAGAGAAGGTGAGGGGGCGGGTGAATGGGGAGGGGGGGTATCATAAATAGCAGAAGATGTGCCTGAAAGTGAAAGTTGCAGTTTGGCTGAGAATAGCCAGAAAAAGTAAATAAAACAGATGGGAGAGTTAATAAGCTAGTTAAAAAAAAAAAAAAATACAGCAGAGCCAGGCATGCAAGTATAAAGCTGCATATATGTATGTATGTATATAAATTGATCCAATAAAGGTGAGGCATGAATATTGAAAATGAATATATAAGACATATATAAGATGTGTGTTTATAAAAAAATTTGGTAATGTGTGAGGAAGCCAGAGTCTACATTAAGTCCTTCATTTCTGGTGTTGAAATGTGTGATAATTTGCATCTCAAATATCTTTTGTTCATGAGAGTATTTGAAATTCCCTTTAAGAACTTTAATCCTGAGGTTTTGGATGGAGTGGCCAGTCTGGGTGAAGTGATGACCAACAGGGGTATAATATCCAATTTCCTTGTGGTTCTTGATTGAGTATCTGTGTAGATTCATTCTGAGATGCAGCTTAAGGCCACTTTCTCCAATGTAGCAACCTTTGTCACACACTGTACACTGTATCATGTACACCATATTTGCAGATGTGCACGTATATAGTCCCTAAATGCTGTATGCTTTGTTATTGTGTCTGGTTGTGTTATTGCCACATATATGTTGACACAGTTTGCAGAGTGATTTGTTGCATCATACAGTGCCGTTCTGTGTGAGCTCCTGTTCTGTGGTCAATTTGCTGCGGACCAATCTCTGTCTCAGGTTATGCGGTTGTTTGAATGTTAGTATGGGGGGTTCAGGAAATATTTTTTTTTAATGTGGGGTCCTCTTAAATTAATAGTTGTAGCTCTTTAATAATTGGACGTACTCCTTCTAGAGTTACATATTACATAGTTACATAGTTACATAGCTGAAAAGAGACTTGTATCCATCAAGTTCAGCCTTCCTCACATATGTTTTTGCTGTTGAAGGCAAAAAACCTAGTCTGAAGCGAGAATATTGAAAAAGTACTATATTATTATTATTATTATTATTATGATGATATTTATAGAGCGCTGTCAAATTCTGCAGCGCTTTACAATGGGTGGACGAACAGACATGTAGTTGTAACCAGACAAGTTGGATACACAGGAACAGAGGGATTGAGGGCCCTGCTCAATGAGCTTACATGCTAGAGGGAGTGGGGTAAAATGACACAAAAAGGTAAGGATAGTATTAGACTAATGACAGTTGCAGAAGGAGCTATTAACAGTTTAATTGATACGCTTTTATGAAGAAGTGGGTTTTTAACGATTTTTTGAAGGAGTGGAGACTTGGTGAGCATCTAACAGAGGAGGGAAGCGAGTTCCACAGGAACGGTGCAGCCCTCGAGAAATCTTGAAGGCGAGCATCAGAGGTGGGAGTACGGACAGAAGATAGACATAAGTCTTCAGCAGATCGTAAGGGCCTAGACGGGACATACTTGTGTATAAGGGAGGATAGATAGGTGGGAGCAGCATTATGTAGAGATTTGAAAGCAAGAACCAGAATTGAGCTCTATATTTTATAGGAAGCCAATGTAAGGACTGACAGAAGGGTGAGGCATGGGAGGTGCGGGCGGACAGGAAGATGAGCCTCGCTGCCGCATTCATTATGGACGAGTCTGCTCACATCGGATTCTATGCTGAGATCCGGGGTGGTTCCGAAGATTGCCCTGCCATTCCATGCTTCCATGTGTTGAAGCCACCATGCAAGTTCCTCTTTTGCTGGGCAGTCTAAAGGTACAGAATCTGAGTAAGATTGACTCAAGCATAGGTGTGTGGCCTTGAGTTGTTGGAGGGGTCCTGGGAAAATCTTTGTCTGGAGGCAGAGAGAAGGCCAAATATCCTCTCTAGTTATCGCAGGGTTAAGACTGGTCGTGCCAATGTCCGCCGGATTCCTTCATGATGTGATTTACCTTCATTGTAGGTAAACTGTGCGTTCCGTGAATTGCATCTATATTTAACCCCAAACTCTATCGAGTGGGAAGGCTGCAAGATTGACCTGTCCCAGTTGATTAGGAAGCCCAGGTTTTGAAGAAGGGCCAGCGTCCAGGAGAGATGTTTACTCAAGCGTTGAGAGGTCGTAGATTGATTACTGGTCTCGTACCCCCACCTTTCTTGGGTACCAAGAAGATGTTGCTTAGGAAGCCGGGTGTGGTAGCTGAGACCTTGTATATTGCATCTTTCTCTTTTAATGTGCAAATCTCTTCTGCTACTAGACTTTTGTCTCCTGGGGAAAACACAATCCGATGTGCTAAACACAATCCGATGAGAATTGGATTGGTTGTTGTATTCGATGTGGTAGACTAGGACCCAGACACCTGAAGTTAGTTTGCGCCATGCATCGAGAAAATTAGACAATCTGCTCCCCTCATTTGATAGGGGAAGGTTGTGTAATAGAAAATGACTCACCATAAGGCCGACAGCCCTAGGAGGATCCCTTGGTTCCACGTGGGTGCCACGACCTGCCCCTGGTTGGGAAGAATGGTGACGGTACTCTGGGTTCTGGTGGGTGGAATCTCATTGTCGCGGAGCCTCAGTAGTCCCGGGACGAAGTCCGGGAGGAGCGACCAGACAGACGGCCCCGCTGTCTGCCGGCCCCACCAAAACCTTCTGTGAGAACACTCGCTTCATACTATTCTGTGCCTTGTCTAGTGCCGTAAACGTGTTGACATATTTACCCAGAGTTTTAATGAAATTGTCTCCGAATAGGAGACCTTTTGCCTGTGTGCCAGGCTCAGATATTGCCAGGTTTATTAGTTTAGGCTCAATTTTTTTATCAATATGGCTTTACGCCGTTCAGTGGCCAAAGCATTGTTGGTGTTTCCAATCAGCCAAATGCCTCTCTGGATCCATCCCCTGACGGCCAATAGATTTATTGGTGTCCCCTCAGTTAGGGCTGTTTCAACTATGTCGAAAGTCTTGGCTATAGGCCCGAGTATGTCCAGGACCTTGTCCTGACAATGTCTTAGAGATAGTCCAGCCCCTTTTTGGCCTTCCATCCCGGTTTACCAAGAAAAACGGTCTTGGGATCCACTTCGAGGGTCACACCGGCCATGTCTGGGACCGTGTAGCCAAGAAAGTCTTGGCTATAGGCCCGAGTATGTCCAGGACCTTGTCCTGACAATGTCTTAGAGAATAGTCCAGCCCCTTTTTGGCCTTCCATCCCGGTTTACCAAGAAAAACGGTCTTGGGATCCACTTCGAGGGTCACACCGGCCATGTCTGGGACCGTGTAGGGTGTGGGCATTCCGCCCTCAGTTTACTCCTCATAGTTTTCCTCACCCTGGTTGCTATATAAATGGCCACATGGGTCGTGGGGTACCAGTCAGCCGAGCAAGGATTATGCAGGGCATCAGGGTGAAAAAGGGGTTTCCCTTGGGGGTCTAAGATGGCGGATTCGTCCGCCTCCTGCTCAGCTTCTACAGCTGGCGGTGCAGTCTCGCTGCATTTGGGGGAAGAGTCCTCCGAATAAACTGGGTCAATGGTATCGGACCCATCTGAAACCTCCTCTGAGTCCGAATCAGAGTCAGACAAATCAGGTAGGGCTTTTGCCCTCTTCCAAGTCCGCACCGCTTTTGCCCGGTGGGGGGCTCTTTTATGTGGGAGCACCACGTCCTCAGTCTCAACAGGGCGCAACCTGTCCGTCATACTAGTTTTGGAGGCAGTACTTATTAAATTATGCGATTTACTCATAGCCTTGCGACCGCTAGGGACCATCGGCTTGCTATCAGAGGCCATAGATGCCTGATGCCATGATAGCGGAGGAGATAGAGTGGGACAAGGTGTCTGACATCACTCCCATGGCATTGTAAATGGCCTGTGTAACAGACTTGCTCGTGGTCGCATCCAGGGGCAAGTGGAAACTCCTCTGAGTTCATGTGGTCCTGGGATGCCTCCTCAACGCCACCAGGGGCCAGTAGTGCCTGCAGACACAACAGTTGTGCAGTATCTGCTGGGCTTAGTAGAGATGTTAGGAGCAGTAGCCTGTCTGACAGAAAGGTATTGCATAGTGGCTAGGTACTGTGTATATACAGAGACAATACCAGATGAAATATGGCACAGAGGAACTGTGGCATAAGTCAGTATGGTACCACTTAATGTGGTATATATATCAATATGGCACACTTTAATATGGCCTAAATCAAAGTGGTACAAGGTACTAAGGCACAGAGCAAGAAGGCACAAATAATATGGCAGCTTACCAAGTGTTCCTTCAGGAATGGCTCCTGGGGAACACTGGTAGACTGCCTGACACCCCAACAAGCCCTTTAGCCTGCGCCCCTCTCTGAGCGAGCAGCGGGAGAAAAACGCGGCAAATTTGGCAACCACAAGATGGCTGCCGCAATGCGCGGGAGCGAACCGCGCATGCGCAGGTGGGCCAGGTAACGGCTTTTATGGCTATGGAGGGGGGGGGGGACCTCGGAGCCCCGAAGGCATCCCCCAAGTGGTGGGGAAAAAAGTTTATACTTAATATTCATTTAGACCAGTATTGAACATTGGTTACTTCATTTCAAGCAAGGATTTTTATTTATGATCCAAATGTCCGGATACCACTATTTGTATTTGTGGACATTTCTTTAGGAAATAGGACTTCCAACTGTGACTCGATTCATTCATATTTATGTTTATTGGTGACAATATACAGACTGTGACCCTACAAATCATATTAAAGTCAAGAGTCTGAGATGCACTGTAGTCACAGCTTTTGGACTAGGGAGGTATAGCCTATTAGGCTGGTAACACTATTTTGCACTGGGATGACTTTATAGATGAGGAAGAGGTTATTGATATATCATTCTAATCAATATTATTATTTATCTATTTACTTCCAATATTCCAGTTTATGCTCGAACTGCTGGATTTGTAGATCCAGCGTCTAGAGCTTAATTTCTTTGTTATAAACTCAGGGGTTAAGCCCCAGGACACTTCTGGAGTGTCCATACAGGTGTTCTTTTGGGATCCAAAGTAGGTTGGTCCAATCTGGATCTAACCGGTACTAGTGGTTCCCATCTCTATATAATGTACTAGACAAGAATAATAGTATTAACCAAAGGTAGTAATAACAACAGAAAAAACAATAAAATAATATTAAGGGTAAACTAATACTAATAAAACAGTAAATTACAATACAATTTTTAAGAGCAGAAAAATTATGAGGTACTTAGCTGAGGCAGCAGCAAAGAAAGAGGAAGAGAGGAGGTCACGTGACAGGATATTACAGATGGCTGTTCCCATAGGCTGGGAGATAATGATGATGTAATGCGTTAACCCTGTGGGGTATTTCTACAGTTTTTTCTATATCATAGATACCTTAACTTTCTTTGCTGCTGAAGAGTAAAAGAAAGTGATAAGCCTAATAAGAGCCTCTGTGTCCTTTAATAACATTGATGCTGGTTTCTCAATGATGCAGATCCTTCCAACAGAAAGTATTTATGTAAAAATAATGTTATATATTCAGTGTAAGAAACATGTGCATTTTCAATGTTGAAATGTTGAAATGTTTCATTTTGAAATTGGTATGTAAGTCCAGTCTCTTAAATGATGCAGAGGATGACACTGGAGATGAGGCTATCAACATAATTGATGCAGAGGACAGCACCCAAGATGTGACCTGCGACATAATCAATGCAGACTGTGGCACAACAAAATCACTGTTCTTTAATAGCAAAGATCAAAAAATTCTTCTTAAGTGTTACATAGTTACATAGTTACATAGCTGAAAAGAGACTTGCGTCCATCAAGTTCAGCCTTCCTCACATTTGTTTTTTGCTGTTGATCCAAAAGAAGGCAAAAAATAAAACAGTTTGAAGCACTTCCAATTTTGCAACAAGCTAGGAAGAAAACACCTTCTTGACCCCAGAATGGCAGTCAGATTTATCCTTGGATCAAGCAGTTATTACCCTACATTGAAAGATTATATCCTTGAATGTTCTGTTTTTGCAAGTATGTTTTTGGTAGCTGTTTGAACATCTGTATGGACTCTGAAAAAAACACTTCTCCAGGCAGAGAATCCACATCCGTATTGTTCTTACAGTAAAAAAACCTTCCCTTTGCCTTAGACGAAATCTTCTTTCTTCCAGTCTAAACGCATGACCTCGTGTCCTATGTAAAGTCCGGTTTGTGAATAGATTTCCACACAATGGTTTGTATTGGCCCGAATATATTTGTATAATGTTATCATATCCCCTCTCAGGCAACGTTTTTCTAAACTAAATATGATTAAATTTGTTAACCTTTCTTCATAGCTGATATGTTCCATTCCTTTTATTAATTTTGTAGTCTGCCTCTGCACTTTTTCTAGTGCCATAATATCCTTCTTTAGAACAGGTGCCCAAAATTGCACAGCATATTCAATATGTGGTCTTACCAGTGATTTATAAAGAGGCACAATTATATTCTCGTCTCGAGAATGAATGCCCTTTTTCATGCATGACAATATCTTACTTGCCTTGGCCACTGCTGATTGACATTGCACATTGTTGCATAGTTTGTTGTCTATAACAATTCCCAAGTCCTTTTCGTGTGTTGTTATCCCTAATTCGCTTCCATTAAGGGTACACTCTGCTTGTGTATTCTTTACGCCGAAGTGCATAACTTTGCATTTTTCAACATTAAATTTCAACTGCCATTTGAGTGCCCAGTCCCCCAGTCTATCTAAATCCCTCTGCAGCAAAGTAATATCTTGCTCACATTGTATTATTTTACATAATTTTTCTGCAAACAACAAAACGTGATTTTCAATGCTTTCTTCAAGATCATTTATAAACATGTTAAATAGAAGGGGTGCCAGAACAGACCCCTGAGGGACACCACTTGCCACCTCTGTCCAGCTTGAAAATTTACCATTAACGACAACTCTTTGTACTCTATTTTTAAGCCAATGTTCTACCCAAGAACAAGCATTTTCATCTAGACCGATTTCATTGAGTTTGAACACTAATCTATTGTGTGGAACTGTATCAAATGCCTTGGCAAAATCCAAATAGATCACATCCACGGCAACACCCTGATCTATACTTCTACTTACTTCTTCGTAGAACGCAATCAAGTTAGTTTGACATGACCTGTGCTTCATAAAACTATGCTGATTTTTGCTGATAACCATGTTCTTCTCAAGGAATTCTTGAATATTATCCCTTAATAACCTTTCAAATATTTTACCAGCCACAGAAGTTAAGCTCACAGGTCTATAATTTCCAGGCAAGGATTTTGAACCCTTTTTGAATATAGGAACCACATCTGCCTTCTTCCAATCCTCCAGAACACTTCCTGAAAGAAAAACCAGGGCAGGTGCAACCATAAGGTGGCCGTGGGGTGCACCCACCAAGGTAGAGCAAGATCTGTTTGACCGGCAGAAGAAAAGTGTACTGCACAGCACTCCCTCTGCCAGTCAGTAGCATGGCCAAAAATCATTGCACCGGACCTGAAAACACCCAAAACCAATTATATAAAGACATAATTAAAGGGACACTGTAGTCACCAGAACAACTACAGCTTATTGTATTTGTTCTGGTGAGTAGAATCATTCCCTTCAGGCTTTTTGCAGTAAACACCTTCTTTCCAGATAAAATGCGGTCTTTACATTACAGCCCAGGGATAACTCCACTGGCCACTCCTCAGATAGCTACTAGAGGTGCTTCCTGGGGCTGTACTTCCATCCATTGTGGTGGTGTATAGAGCCAAAAAGATTAGAATTGTGTCGATGTCCCAATATTTATGGACCTGACTGCATATTGCATCCACCCTACACAGATTTGTGTGCGTGTCACTGTATATTTATTTTTATTTAAATTCTTTATATGGCTTTATATTTTCATCCCTCTGCCAAAATCCTGAACACAGGTTTCTCTCTCCAATTCCTTCCTCATAATTAATAACTCGCACAAGGGTTGCCCACTCTCACACTTAATATTTATTTTGGTGCTAAAGCCATTGATGCTCCATATTAAAGCAGATAACATAATTTGGGAGTTAGTTATGCAAATGTAGAAACAATAGATTGTACTATTCCTGACTCAACTTATGTATTCCTTTGCCCGACTGTTAGCCCTATTGGAGAATTAGGTCTGCATTTAATTTTATAAACATAATAATGGAAAGATACTGGTGTTATCATAACACCTGCCTTAATCTTCTTTGGCAGAACTTAAAAAGCTATAAGCTTTTGAATGGAGACAGGTCTCTATAATGTATCTAGGAATTCAACCAGATAAATTCAACTAGCCTTATTAAAGCAAACCATTTAGAATTACTACACATGTTGAAACAAAACTGACACAATGGACCAAAATTGAGATCTTGTGGTTGCAGCGTATAAACAACATTAAAATGATAACTTTACCACTTGTCCTTTATCAATTCGCATCCTTACTAGTTCACCATTATAGAAATTTCAGAAATTATTATCATCTGGAAGCACAAGACTTCTCAGGTCTCCCACCAAATATGTTAGCTACCTGTAAAGGCAGGCCTGGGTGTCCTCATATATGCACAGTTTATAGAGCATCCATTTTATCACAGATGATTTATAGTCTCTCAATTTAATAATCCTATATGGTTGATTTTGGATTATGCCTACATATTTATTCGACTAAGCATCTACTTTGGGCGTTAAATATGCCCACGGATTCTATACTTTGTAGCCTTGATGTGGAGGCGCTTTACAGTTCGATCCCCCACTCCTTAGGGCTTAAACATGTACAGCATTTTCTATTACA